ACTTCTTGGCTCGCGTATCCAACTCATGCTTCTTATCTTGTGAGTCTTCCATGGCTATTGCTTACAATGGCTCTCCTTTATTGATGAGCCCAATAATTTGTGATCTGGTCAGTAGCGTATCAGACACGGTCTTTGCCTTCTTTGAAAGTTCTTTAGGGTGCAACGGCGTCAAAACGATCTTACGTCCATCAATTATCAATGAATAGGCTAACCGGTATCCATCATGAAAAGCATGCTAAATAGGTCTTCCAAGTACAAGCATCCATCTTTACCACATCACACCAAATTTGGTCTTTATAGTACCAATAGAAAAAGAGACCAAGCATCTTTTAGTGACTTTCATACCTCCACCATATTGCAGCCACCCGAATTTGTAAGGTTTGGGGTGTACCTCTGTCTCCAAACCCAATTTAGTCTGCATCTCTTCCGATAATCACAGAACATACCTCCTTGCCAAGTGATGTACACCTCGTGTGGTAAAGGGTCTTTCGTTGCGATGATTCTTCATCTTCATGTTCAGCATGTAAGATCCTCTCAATAACAAGCATATCACCTTCATCATGTTCTACATAGGCATCCTCATCTTCCTCATGAAATTCCTCAATTGGCTGGTTTTCATCATGATTTTAATCGTCTTCTTCGTTTGCTCATGAAGTACGCCAAAAATGACTGAGAATCTTAGTGTTGCGATCAGAAACAATGCTTCTTGGAATGCCCTGTTGTAGGAATTGGCATAGGCTCATATAATCCCTTATTGCTCCCATGCATTTTCGCTTTTCTACATGTTTCACAACGTTCAATCAGCCTGGACACATCTTTGTAAAATTTAGGCCAGTAGAAGGTTTTTTTTGGATCATCTTCTATGATTTTGAGTGGCCAAAATGACCAGCTAATCCACCCTCATGTGCTTCCCTCACAATGGACTCCCTTAAAGAGCTTTGTGGTATGCCCAAAGTAAAGAAACCCATCTCGAATTACACAATTTTTTTGTGGACTCTCTAAGCATCTCTTCCAAATATGTCGAATCCAAATGCATTAGTTTGCATCAACCGCTTGATTGAGGTTTCCAGCTTTGTGCTTGATTACCAACTGAAAATTCTGAAGAAACTCTACCCATTTTGAGCTTTTGTTGGTGACTAAGATACTTTAGTACCTCATGATCAAAATATAGCACGAACTCTCTTGGTAATAAATAATGACTCCAACTTGCATAGAAAAATAGCATAGAACTCTTTTCATAGGTGGAGTACGTCAATATAGGTCCACTTAGCTTCTCGCTAAAATATGACACGGGTTTACCTTCGTGGCTAAGAACTCCTCCAATGCCAACACCTGATGCATCACATTCTACTTCAAATAAATCATCAAAGATAGGTAACTGAAGGATAGGAGCTTGTGTCATTTTCTTGTTTAACAATTCAAAACCCTTTTGAGCATCTTCATTCCACTTGAACATTCCTTCTTTCAAACACTCAATTATAGGGGCAACCAAAGTGCTGAAATTTTTGATAAATCGTCGATAGAAGGACACCACTCCATAAAAGCTCCTTATATGCGAAATCGAGCTAGGAATTGGCCAACTTATGATTGCCTCGATCTTGCTTGGGTCAACTTGAATACTAGCACCAGCTACTATGCAACCTAGAAAGCAAACACTTTTAGTATGGTCGGAGCATACTAAAAGGTTTTAAAAACCTTCTCCAAATGCATTCCATGTTAACTTCCTCTTTCATAGATTAGTATATTGTCAAAGTAGACAACAACAAACTTCCCAATGAATGGTCTAAACACATGAGTCATAAGCCTCATGAATATGGTCGGAGCATTTGACAAACCAAAAGTTATAACCAATCATTCATACAATCCTTGGCTAGTCTTGAAGGCAGTTCATCACCTTCTCTCATACGAATCTGGTGGTACCCACTCTTCAAATCAAGACATTAGAACCATGTAATTGGTCAAATAGATCATCTGACCTTGGGATTGGGAAGCGATATTTGATAGTGGTCTTGTTGATTGCTCGACTGTCAACACATATCCGCCAAGTGCCATTTTTCTTAGGAACAAGCAAAGCAGGTATGGAACAGGGACTAAGGCTCTCCCTTATTAAACCCCTCTCGAATAATTCTTCGACTTTCCTTTGGAGTTCAGCTTGTAGTGTAGGATTCATCCTATACGCGGCTTTGCATGGCCACGATGCTCCTGGTAAAAGGTCAATTTGATGTTGAATATCGCGCATGGGTGGAAGTTCTAATGGAACATCTTCAGAGATCACATCATCAAACTTAGCAGGTAACTTCTTGGCTCGCGTATCCAACTCATGCTTCTTATCTTGTGAGTCTTCCATGGCTATTGCTTACAATGGCTCTCCTTTATTGATGAGCCCAATAATTTGTGATCTGGTCAGTAGCGTATCAGACACGGTCTTTGCCTTCTTTGAAAGTTCTTTAGGGTGCAACGGCGTCAAAACGATCTTACGTCCATCAATTATCAATGAATAGGCTAACCGGTATCCATCATGAAAAGCATGCTAAATAGGTCTTCCAAGTACAAGCATCCATCTTTACCACATCACACCAAATTTGGTCTTTATAGTACCAATAGAAAAAGAGACCAAGCATCTTTTAGTGACTTTCATACCTCCACCATATTGCAGCCACCCGAATTTGTAAGGTTTGGGGTGTACCTCTGTCTCCAAACCCAATTTAGTCTGCATCTCTTCCGATAATCACAGAACATACCTCCTTGCCAAGTGATGTACACCTCGTGTGGTAAAGGGTCTTTCGTTGCGATGATTCTTCATCTTCATGTTCAGCATGTAAGATCCTCTCAATAACAAGCATATCACCTTCATCATGTTCTACATAGGCATCCTCATCTTCCTCATGAAATTCCTCTATTGGCTGGTTTTCATCATGATTTGAATCGTCTTCTTCGTTTGCTCATGAAGTACGCCAAAAATGACTGAGAAACTTAGTGTTGCGATCAGGAACAATGCTTCTTGGAATGCCCTGTTGTAGGAATTGGCATAGGCTCATATAATCCCTTATTGCTCCCATGCATTTTCGCTTTTCTACATGTTTCACAACGCTCAATCAGCCTGGACACATGTTTGTAAAATTTAGGCCAGTAGAAGTTTTTTTTTGGATCATCTTCAATGATTTTGAGTGGCCAAAATGACCAGCTAATCCACCCTCATGTGCTTCCCTCACAATGGACTCCCTTAAAGAGCTTTGTGGTATGCCCAAAGTAAAGAAACCCATCTCGAATTACACAATTTTTTTGTGGACTCTCTAAGCATCTCTTCCAAATATGTCGAATCCAAATGCATTAGTTTGCATCAACCGCTTGATTGAGGTTTCCAGCTTTGTGCTTGATTACCAACTGAAAATTCTGAAGAAACTCTACCCATTTTGAGCTTTTGTTGGTGACTAAGATACTTTAGTACCTCATGATCAAAATATAGCACGAACTCTCTTGGTAATAAATAATGACTCCAACTTGCATAGAAAAATAGCATAGAACTCTTTTCATAGGTGGAGTACGTCAATATAGGTCCACTTAGCTTCTCGCTAAAATATGACACGGGTTTACCTTCGTGGCTAAGAACTCCTCCAATGCCAACACCTGATGCATCACATTCTACTTCAAATAAATCATCAAAGATAGGTAACTGAAGGATAGGAGCTTGTGTCATTTTCTTGTTTAACAATTCAAAACCCTTTTGAGCATCTTCATTCCACTTGAACATTCCTCCTTTCAAACACTCAATTATAGGGGCAACCAAAGTGCTGAAATTTTTGATAAATCGTCGATAGAAGGACACCACTCCATAAAAGCTCCTTATATGCGAAATCGAGCTAGGAATTGGCCAACTTATGATTGCCTCGATCTTGCTTGGGTCAACTTGAATACTAGCACCAGCTACTATGCAACCTAGAAAGCAAACACTTTTAGTATGGTCGGAGCATACTAAAAGGTTTTAAAAACCTTCTCCAAATGCATTCCATGTTAACTTCCTCTTTCATAGATTAGTATATTGTCAAAGTAGACAACAACAAACTTCCCAATGAATGGTCTAAACACATGAGTCATAAGCCTCATGAATATGGTCGGAGCATTTGACAAACCAAAAGTTATAACCAATCATTCATACAATCCTTGGCTAGTCTTGAAGGCAGTTCATCACCTTCTCTCATACGAATCTGGTGGTACCCACTCTTCAAATCAAGACATTAGAACCATGTAATTGGTCAAATAGATCATCTGACCTTGGGATTGGGAAGCGATATTTGATAGTGGTCTTGTTGATTGCTCGACTGTCAACACATATCCGCCAAGTGCCATTTTTCTTAGGAACAAGCAAAGCAGGTATGGAACAGGGACTAAGGCTCTCCCTTATTAAACCCCTCTCGAATAATTCTTCGACTTTCCTTTGGAGTTCAGCTTGTAGTGTAGGATTCATCCTATACGCGGCTTTGCATGGCCACGATGCTCCTGGTAAAAGGTCAATTTGATGTTGAATATCGCGCATGGGTGGAAGTTCTAATGGAACATCTTCAGAGATCACATCATCAAACTTAGCAGGTAACTTCTTGGCTCGCGTATCCAACTCATGCTTCTTATCTTGTGAGTCTTCCATGGCTATTGCTTACAATGGCTCTCCTTTATTGATGAGCCCAATAATTTGTGATCTGGTCAGTAGCGTATCAGACACGGTCTTTGCCTTCTTTGAAAGTTCTTTAGGGTGCAACGGCGTCAAAACGATCTTACGTCCATCAATTATCAATGAATAGGCTAACCGGTATCCATCATGAAAAGCATGCTAAATAGGTCTTCCAAGTACAAGCATCCATCTTTACCACATCACACCAAATTTGGTCTTTATAGTACCAATAGAAAAAGAGACCAAGCATCTTTTAGTGACTTTCATACCTCCACCATATTGCAGCCACCCGAATTTGTAAGGTTTGGGGTGTACCTCTGTCTCCAAACCCAATTTAGTCTGCATCTCTTCCGATAATCACAGAACATACCTCCTTGCCAAGTGATGTACACCTCGTGTGGTAAAGGGTCTTTCGTTGCGATGATTCTTCATCTTCATGTTCTGCATGTAAGATCCTCTCAATAACAAGCATATCACCTTCATCATGTTCTACATAGGCATCCTCATCTTCCTCATGAAATTCCTCAATTGGCTGGTTTTCATCATGATTTTAATCGTCTTCTTCGTTTGCTCATGAAGTACGCCAAAAATGACTGAGAATCTTAGTGTTGCGATCAGAAACAATGCTTCTTGGAATGCCCTGTTGTAGGAATTGGCATAGGCTCATATAATCCCTTATTGCTCCCATGCATTTTCGCTTTTCTACATGTTTCACAACGTTCAATCAGCCTGGACACATCTTTGTAAAATTTAGGCCAGTAGAAGGTTTTTTTTGGATCATCTTCTATGATTTTGAGTGGCCAAAATGACCAGCTAATCCACCCTCATGTGCTTCCCTCACAATGGACTCCCTTAAAGAGCTTTGTGGTATGCCCAAAGTAAAGAAACCCATCTCGAATTACACAAATTTTTTGTGGACACTCTAAGCATCTCTTCCAAATATGTCGAATCCAAATGCATTAGTTTGCATCAACCGCTTGATTGAGGTTTCCACCTTTGTGCTTGATTACCAACTGAAAATTCTGAAGAAACTCTACCCATTTTGAGCTTTTGTTGGTGACTAAGATACTTTAGTACCTCATGATCAGAATATAGCGCGAACTCTCTTGGTAATAAATAATGACTCCAAGTTGCATAGAACAATAGCATAGAACTCTTTTCATAGGTGGAGTACGTCAATATAGGTCCACTTAGCTTCTCGCTAAAATATGACACGGGTTTACCTTCGTGGCTAAGAACTCCTCCAATGCCAACACCTGATGCATCACATTCTACTTCAAATAAATCATCAAAGATAGGTAACTGAAGGATAGGAGCTTGTGTCATTTTCTTGTTTAACAATTCAAAACCCTTTTGAGCATCTTCATTCCACTTGAACATTCCTCCTTTCAAACACTCAATTATAGGGGCAACCAAAGTGCTGAAATTTTTGATAAATCGTCGATAGAAGGACACCACTCCATAAAAGCTCCTTATATGCGAAATCGAGCTAGGAATTGGCCAACTTATGATTGCCTCGATCTTGCTTGGGTCAACCTGAATACTA